AGAATCAGAATTTTTTTTTCTTTCTATTTTTCCATACTGAGCTGCTGTTACACTAGAAACGTTCGGATAAAGGAGAGAAGCTTTGTTATTATGATTAAAACCTAAAGTATCACATTTACAAAAGTAACAGTCATCATGGTGATTTTTAGGTTCACACCATATTGTTGGTTAGAGAACAACTTCGGTTTTAGTTTTATTCCAGTTTTTCAAACTTCGGCGACAGTCTTCACAAATATATTTAGGAACCCATGGTTTGTCTAAATTCTTCATAGGTGTCTCGTAACATTCTTCAAACTGATCTTTAATGATATCAGTGATTGACCGACGAAGTCGAGCTACCTCAAATTTACCGCAGATATTACAAAAGGAATCGATTTTTCCTTTGCATGGAATTCTACATGCCGACATCTTTAATAACTTATAAGTTAATTGGAAATCACGAGTACTGCACGCAGTGTTATATGAGAAATAATAGAAAGTATTTAATTCCAGTGACTTCTCCGTTAGCCTACCGCTCAAATACGATCCCTAACACGGATGAAGAACGAAGCACAAAAATTTGTAGTTTTTGAGCAATGTCATACACGGTTATCCTCAAGTAAGGAAATGTAGGCCCTAAGTGAATCCGATATCTGCTAACGCAGATACTTTCTTCATCGTTAGTAGACCAGAAAAATGTAAGATTAAAAATCCTAGTTGATCGATTTCGCAAGTTATAGACACTTGTATGTAAACGTAAATTGTACTTGTATACGTAAGTTGGATATGAATTTTCCTATCACAGACACAAATTCTTCTACCTTCTTTTACCGCAGAAATGACGTCTATCGTTGTTCCATTGACCCAGCGGAATTCCCCGTCCACCAAACCCGAATTTCTTTAACCCTCGATAGGGCCGGGGGTTATAGCTTCGCAGGTTAAAGGCTCGAGGATTAAGGAAATTGGGGTGTGAGGGTCGGGGGTTATACCGCAGTAGGTTAAAGGGCTCAAGAGTTAAGGACTTTGGAGTATGTCGGTCAGGGGTTATATTCAGATGCAACACTCACAAACTGAATAAATGAGATTTAAAACGCGTAATTGAAAGCTGCGTTGAATACAAGGCATGGATATTGAAGGGATTGAAATGTAGAGACATACGGTTATACGATAGCAGCTTGAAGTGCTGATTGAGGAAATTCTGGCAAAGGAGTCTGAGGTTGCAGACTTGCAGGGCTCGGGGGTTGAATATATAATTTGGAGGCTTGAGGTATTCTGCGTAGCGAATTTCGGTATGAGGGTTGGGGTTATACCGCAGCAGGTTAAATGCTCGAGGGTTAAGGAAATTGGGGTGTGAGGGTCGGGGGTTATACAGCAGCAGGTTAAAGGGCTCGAGAGTTAAGGACTTTGGAGTATGTCGGTCAGGGGTTACAGCGTCGCAGGTTATGGTGCTCTAGGGTTAAGGGAATTGAGATTATAGAGTCATTCTGACGTTAAATTTGGATTCAGTGACCCAAAAAAAATATAATTACACTATAACTCTTTATTCGGAAATTCGCCACTATTTCGTGCTGTAACGAAATCGCTAAATCACTCAAATTCAATCTACGATATCTCGATGGAAAAAAACGATTTTTTAAATCTGAGAAAAGGATTTTGAAGGGTAAAGAGTAGTACTTTGAGATAGCATTACTCGTTTTTTAAAATAAAATTGGCTTACGACGTAATACTATGCGAAATATAGTGAAAAATCGTGTTTTTTGAACTTTTAGGTTAGGATTTCTCGAAAACCTAGGGTGATGGAGCAATTCTGAGGTCAGATTCGGTTTCAGCGCACCAAAAACGTTTGGGAACGTACTGTCTGGTTTCTGGGTTTTTCCATTTTTTAAATTTTGTCGGCCTGTGTAATTGTTCGCCCTCCAGAGCTGGTACGGTTGGCGTTGAGCATAGCCATAATAATGATTGCTAATGGATGGGGCAGCCTGGCGCTAGATAAGACAAAATTACTGTTATTAATGAGATAAAGAAATCAGCGATCATATCAATAAAAGTTAGTGCGGTATCGATGAATACCGAAAATACGGTCAAGCAGCTAAGGGTCACACTAGATGTGAAACTAACTTTCTTTTCCCATATTCAGAAGACGGCGGCAAGGGTTGCCACGAACTTTACTGTCTAATGGCAAATATGTGCTGACTGAGACCGAAAAAATGGCAATTTTTAATGTTAACGAACCACTCCATCCTGTTATACGGTGCGAAAAATTGGGATCGACGCTATCGAAACCAAGAAATATCAGAAACGGTTACTAAATGTACAGAGACAGGGGATGTTGAGGATTACGTGCATATACTGAACGGTCTCGCAAGAGGTTATCTTGATTACCACGTACGTGATCCCTATAAATCGTCTAACTAAGGAGCGAACGAGGATCTATCAAAAGAGCGTGGACATACGATGAGTAGGCGCGACAGAAATTGAAAAGAAGGGGACTCTGACGGAATGAGAAGAACACTAGACGAAATACTCCACTGATAAACGGACTTGACAATTAATAAGCGCCCTACAACCTTGGTAGGAGAGGGCATTTGGAGTGGTGAATTTTACATCATCCAGTTCCTTTTTAGTTATGGATAATTTAAAAGTTACTTGATGAAAATCAACAAAAACAGGACACTAGACTGCAAATCTTGCAGGTACAATAATGACGACGCGGAACATATGTTCTTTGGGTACCCGCACTTGACTATTGACAGACAACAAGTAAAGAGCATAACCGGATACAGTATCGCATCTGACTATTGTTGGAAAAATACTGCAAAGCGAGGCTAACTGAGATGTAGTGTTAGGCTTTGTGGAGGCTGTTCTCAGAAATAAGAAAGAATGAGGATGTTTGAATTATTAAGTAAATGTGTGAATGAATGCAGAAGAGCTGCGGAATGTAGAACGGACTAATAGACGACACGTATAATATGAGCAGACCCTCCACTGGAGGAGTAATGCTAATGCGAAGAAACAATGCTCAAACTTACGAATCCGAGATTCTGGAATCAGAGTACTGATTTTGAAATCACGGAGTTGAGGGGGAGTTGAGTTAGTCAATCAATCTGGATTTACGATATTTTAATGGGGGTCTACCACGATTCAAACTAACGATAAAGGTAGTCCGACAGGAGTAGGTACAGTCCAATCAGTATTTGCCTTTTCTTACCGCTATATAAAAAATGATCGATTAACTTGAGAGAACGTATAGTAAATAATAGCATTATTTGATTCCGAGGAACATGCACTTCGAAACTACAAGTATAGGTATATGGGAGATACTGTCACATGTAAAAAAGTTTTAAAAACTCATAAAGATATGTAAAAGTAGTCTCAAATAGTCAGAAAAAACTGTTTTTTCCGGGAAATAAAAATAAATAAAATGAATTAAATTAATTAATTAATTAAATAAATAAATAAAATATCTTGAGTAAAAATATTTTCAGTTCAGGAAAAACTGTTTTTAAATGGCATATCACTTAACTTTTTCATATCATATTATGCTTTAAAACTGAAAGTACGTAAAGATAAAATTTATGTACCTACCGAGAAAATGTCTTGAAAAGTTCAACGATTATAAAATCCTAAATATGAAACTTTTCTTATTTTCAATGTAGAAAATGTAATAACTATATGAAGACCCACAAATCATGATAAATTGTGCAGTTATTTTAAGTATTCGTTCACATACATAGTTATTTTTCTAAATATTAATATTTATTACATATTAAAAGGTAAAAAATAAAAAAAACTAATGGCTATTCTACTAATTCTTTTTTGATTTAATAAAAACTGAATATTACAACAGTTTCGACGGTTTTCAGAACTGATGTTCATATTTTCTGGTCTTCTTCAGTCGAACACTGGCAAAGTATATCGAACAAGATTCAGTATAAGTCTGACTGTTATCCTGTTCGGTAAGCCTTGCCAGTGTTCGCCTAAACAAGACCGGAGAATATCAACATCAGTTCTCAAAACATTCTGCTGTAATATTTAGTTTTATTTATATAAAAAAAGAATTGATAGAATAACCTCTAGTATTTTTATTTTTTTTTTTCTTATTTTCGTTCTATCATTAGAATTTTCTTACAATTCATTACATATTGTTGCATATTTTAGAGAAAGAACGATATTATTTGGGATGGCATTTGAAAAATTCTAAATCACTAAGTTTATTTTTTCTACATCAGAACTACAAAGAAGATTAAATTCTTTTTATATAAATTTTATTTTTTAAGTTTATTGTCAGTTGTGAATAATTTCTAGAACGATATTTTATTTTGAAATACTCTCTATTATTTTTATGAGCTAGACTAATTCAATACACTTCAAAATTTTTCTGTTTTATAACAAAATTCACTTTTAAAATCGGTTTTCCCTAAGTATGTATCATTTAGTCAATTAGTTATTTATTTGACTGCTTTGTAATCGGTTTCATTAACACAAAATGTATTCTATTCAAAAAATACAAATCACAGATTACAAACCGACAAGAATCAATACAAGCGACATCTTGCCCATGCTTGACTGTATTCTACACCATGATTAACTCTACTTAAAACTACTTAAAATTTCATATTAGTGCTGAAAAAATGCGTATATTACTTAAGCATTGTATATATATCTAAGAAATAAATGTTAATTCTAAAGGCGTGATGAATCAAATGTGAAATTCCAAATACACTTTTGAAATTACACTTGTTTTTAGTGCCCGAAAAAGTGAAAGTTGAGAAACACATTTTAGTAAATTTTATATATATAGATACGCATTAATGAAGATCTATAAACTTTGATTATTAGTGTATAGTAGCCTGGTTAAGCAACTTATATACATACCATTATACCTGTATAAGGCAGTATACATTTATGCATATATGTACAAAAACGTATAAATATAGGAATGAATTGAAAATAATATTCATGTATATATATATATATATATGTATAATAATGTGATATAAATATAAGAAAATCATGCACACCTCAATCTTCCTGCCCTCAACCACGGTGCCATGTAGCCTCTCACGTGCTCGGTCCGCGTCAGCACTATTTGCGAATGTTACAAAACCGAATCCCTGCATGCAAGGACAGACAAAACAACATGCATTAAACTCAACTTACAAATTTTTGCGCTTCGCAAGCATTAGCATATCAACATAATATTTTAGTTTATTATTATTATTATTATTATTATTATTATAATATTTTTTCAATAGGAATATGGATATATCCGTATTCTACATTCTTTGTAATGATTAAAGGATAATGCCAAGCACATAACATTTTTTTTAAATACGATGAAACTTATGCTACAACTGATTGTTAGTTCACTAAAACATTGGTATCAAACATTATTCATAAATTCTACTAGGATTTCTCTATCATAAATGATTAAGATGTATATAAAATGTAAAACTTTAATGTGATATGCAATTTGACAGAACATATATGGTTGCAAATGCGTGAATTTGCTTGCGAAGACGCTTCAAACAACGTGCAACAAATAAGTAATATAAATTTATAGATTAAATAATGGGCATTATTACATAGATAATTTTATGATATAAGACAATATTATATTATATATCTTGTTATATAAAATTATGTCATATTATACTGCGTATGATATTTCAATTTTAACCAAGTAACTGTATCAATAAATATCAATATAATTAAAACCTTTTGTAGAAATTTATCTGGTATAATGAATACATGTATCAAAATTATATATACATGTGTATTTATTAGTTTAAGTATCAAAATATGTACATGTACACATAAAATAGATGCACGAATTATCAATCACTGGTGAAAAAAACTACCATAAGACAATAGTTCAATGTCATTGAATAATGTCCAAAAATTTTTTTGATGTAAATTAAAAGTAATTAATTTTGGGTTTAACTGCATTACGGTAAATTGTTATAGACACTTATAAATGATTTTTTTATTTTAGACAGACTGTTTTCACTGAATTATGAAAATAAGCCATGAAGTCATTGTACAGAATAGTACGTTTTTAAAATTATTTATTTACTAATTTGAACGGAAATATATATTTTTCCGTTTTAAAAATACTTATATTGGACAGTAGAATGAAACTAATTAATTAACAAGAAATCCATTCTTCGGTAGAGCTGGTAAATAGTATCGGAAGTAGAAATCAAATTCAGGCTACGCTACGCAACATGCGTTTTATCCTGCAAAAAGATTTTTGCAAAATACAGAACTACTTAGCTGATCTTGCTTTATCTAAATATGCTCAAATATATATTTTTTCTACTATTCTTTCCTTACAAAATATTGCACATCTCTTATCGGACGCACACAGTACTATATAATGTATATTCATTTACTTAACAAAATGATATATGTGAATCAAGTGATTCTTTCAGATCCTCTTGACATGGCTTCACCCTCAATTTCTATGATAATTACTCGTTGATAAATAGTTGATAAAAATCAAAAGACGCTTCATTAAAACGATCTAGCGCATGCTTATTGCTGACGTTGGTTTATGCTTAGTCACCCCGTTATAGTTAGTATTTCATATGCTCCATCAAATTAAAAAACTATTTTGTCAAAATTAATATTACGATTAAATCTTTATATAAATAATAAAAGCTGTTTGTTGGACTGTATCAGGAAAAAATCAAAATATACCAGTGCATTGAAAACCAATTAATGTTTATTCTATTTATTTTTTGTAATAAGATACGTCTGTATTGAAGATTCAAATAAATAGTTTGCATTTATATTAAAACATAATTCTATAATTGATGAAGATGTGTCAGGATTGAAGATTCAAACAAACAATTTGTATTAATATTTTAAACACGATTGAACAAACTCTATTATTTGATCTGTAAAATAGCTTTTTACTAATGATAAGAGATTGCAGATATTTGCTTATAAAGTCATTCATGTGATGTAAATCATGATAAAAAGCGAGTGATTATGCTGTTGATTTATCTTCTTTCTTTGTAGACTGTCCTACGCCAAATTACGGTATCAATCTGTAACAAGATTCCACACAGAATTATGGCAAAAAAAGAATGTATATACGTAAGTATATATCATGCAACGAGTATGCAGAAATTTATACGTAAATACTTTTAAACTTGAGAGCATAAGCGATGTAAATTGGTAACTTCGAAAATTAGTAATAATTTGTTAGAAATATTCAATAACCGAAAAAATTGCATTAAGGCCATAGAAAAATAGAAAATTGAATTCTTATAGGTCATTGTTCTTATAGCAGGCTCATTGTTGTCAAATAAGCAATTGTACGTTAACTTCTATTGTTACGAATTACATAGAGCCTCAACACCGAAAAAGTTTGCCAAAAATGACAATACGAAGTAAGAAGTGGGTTTCATTATTACAAGAGGTATGAAAATTTACTCAAATGAAAATTTTTTTCATTCATTTATACAAACCTAACGTATATTCGTATAAAGAATTTCAATGTTTCAGTTTATAATATAGTACTGTTTATATTACTACAATGCTTCTTGTAATTTCTGTATCGTAATGTAAACTATAACTTAAAACTTATCGTAATGTTAATATACCTGTATCGTAATGTTAATATAACTCAAATCGCAATGGAAATATGGAAGTTTTAAAGAAATCCATGTTCTTCAGGAAAAGTGTGAGTAGAGAATTGAATAAAACGATCAACTTCGTACTTAAAGTACTTAAATACTAATGGGCGTAAAAAAAGATCATTCTCAATAGTGAAGAAATAAAATGTTTCTTTTGGTAAAATAGTTAGATAATTAGATAATCTTAAAAATACAAGCTGTTTTTTATCGAGACAACTGAAAAATGTTACAAATTTCATACGTTGTACTGTTGGCAAAAAATCTGTGCCCAAAAATCACCGTGAGCATATTACTAAGAAGCTGCATTTAAAAATAATGTATACAAATTTCATAGTTTTAAATTTGATGTTAAAAAAGGTAACGCAAAAGAAGAAATAACTCTTATATGGACAGACACAGAAGAAACAATAGATGTTATATTAAGTGAACTTCATTTTATCGAATATTATGTTGTAAAAATAATAGTCAACAGCGAACAAGGATTTTTCAAAGTATACACGTTGATTATACCATAATATTTCATAAAAGACAATATAAATTGCACTACTTCAAAATAATTATCAAACTTTTTGTTTTACCAGAAAAGATAAAAAGGTAGCCAAGAATTGCCACAGTGTTCTTTTCGATGAAAAAGTAAAACGCAAGTACTTCATCCATGGCTTCCAGAGCATTTACAAAGCATAGTAATGACAGTTTTTTAATTTCGTTGAAAATTTCGTGGCCAAATAAATTTGTGATTCTTCTAAAAATTTTTGACATGCGTTGTCCTTTAATTCTTTAAATATTTCTCAGTGGTAATTTTTGGAAATTACGTTCAATTTTTTTCGTCTAATGACAACATATTTACGACCTTATATAGGTACTAATCCATTTTGGATAATATAATTCACGTATCCTTGAAACACGTATAATTCAAGAATCATAATCTGTTTTAGGGCGGTTAAGAAGACTGTGGCCTTTTTTCGTTTACCTTTTCATCTTTTCCAGTAAAACAAAAAGTTTCTATTGTTTTATTAAATTTTTATTGTTTTCTATGAAATATTCTGGTATTATCGACATGCACACTTTGAAAAAAGCTTGCCCGCTGTCAGCCATTATTTTTGCAACATAATATTCGATGAAATAACATTTATTTAATATAATGTTTATTATTTCTTCTGTGTCTGTCTCTATAAGATTTCTAGCTTCTTTTTCATTACCTTATTAAACATCAATTTCAAAGTTATGAGATTTGTATACATTATTTTAAAATGCAGCTTCTTAGTAATATGCTCACGGTGATTTTTGGGCACAGATTTTTTGTCAACAGTACAACGTTATATATATATATATATATAACGTATATATATAACGTATATATATATATAACGTATATATATATATATAACGTATATATATATATATATATATGGATATGTTCACGTACATTTTCTTTATTGTTGATGAAATTGAGAAGAATCGACAATATTTTGAAAAATTGGAATGACCAGTTACATAACTAAACTCGACAATTATCGATACGACTTTTAGTACAAACCATGATTTTTTAATAATTAATAAATTATTTTCAACACGTTATGCGGCAGGTACAACTTGACACAAGGCGAAATATGTGCATTTAAGTTGTGCTTTCCACATGTTTTGATGTATTGAAAAACACCTTATCTACGTAAACATGTTCGAAAAAGAATATGTTAAGTACTCGCTTTGTTGGGCGTAAACCTTACACGAGATGACAATCTACTTTCTTGCACTAGTTAGGTAATGTACTATTTCTTTTAAGATTTGATCTGAAGAATTTTTTACTTGAAAGATTTTCATAAAATTTTTTTAAATGTTCTTTTGATCATGCCTGGAAGAGATAAAAAGACGATACAAATAGTTACATTTGATCGATCTTGAATATAAATTTTTGGAGAGGTTAGTATAACTTTTAACGCGTAATTTTTAGAATATCCATACATTCAAAAAAAAATCTAAAAAATTTTCAACAAGATAAATTTTTATGAAACCAGTTTTCAGTATCCTTTAACCATTTCCAGAGAAAGTAAATAAATTTAGTAAAGATTCCTAGCGCAGGACCACCATATAATTTACTAAATGTTTACTCATTATATTTCCGCCATTTTTATTTCTATTTATATCTATGTACTGCAACAATTGCCGAAAATCGTTTAGACTCGCGTGGGTTACTAAGCGGCTGAGCGTAACAGCCGCGATCGGTTTGAGAGAGAGAGAGAGAGGGCGCGTTAGGGGCAATGACCGGGAGGGGAGAGTTAGCTAGCCAGTATGACTGAGTCCTTCAGTCCGGCTACATCGTGATCGACGAGTCAGAGGCAACAACGAGTCCTATTGTTTTACGAGTGAGATCCAGGGAGTTGTGCATATTGTTAGCGAGTTGTGAGGTAGGAGTGCACACTGCGCAACGTGTGCATCAGCGACCGACAACAACGATCGGTACGGTGGGA